AGCGGCAACTTGGATCCTCTGATCGTAGCACGGTAGCAGTGTAACTTCACTACCAATGTCTGACTAAAAGAAGTTGCACATCGTCTTATATTGCCTATGCTACGTGAAAAACTAGGACATTGTGAGAAACGTGGCACCCACAATAAAGACAATTTCCTAACAGCAAAATTTCTAGAACTATTACATACATGTGAAAATCACGATTTTATGAAAGCTTTGATTTTGAAATCACGTACTTGGCTTGCATGATAACTGATAATAAATCAGTAGGAAGTTGCAAAGGAAATTGATAAATGATCAGCGTTTCAAAACTAACATTGATATCTGTGAATTCATCTAATTTTCAGAAGAAAGAAGGCGAGGACAATGGACAGGACTCTGATGAAGGGAGTACTGCAGGAGGTTAGTCACAGAAACACTTAGAAAGCTTGATATATCATTTTCAGTTGACATCTCACCACACCTGCTTGTAAATCACATGGTCTTGAAACAAATAACTTTCTTTTTGTGGCCAGTCATACCCTTCAACTTGCCATATTCAGGATCACAGTAAAAGGCCAGATGCACTACAGGATTCTACCTCTGCAATATATGACATGTAATACTGCATGCAGCAATTACGTGATTCAATTTAACCATTGCGAGTAGTAAAACACGCAATGTTGCACAGGTGTCTGGGCCTTTACTCTGTTAATATACAGCTCCAAAAAAGATCCATTTCCAACCCATGCAGGACAGTTTTTAACCTCAATGAGCTAATCAACACACAGTGATCGAGATCTAATTTTGGCTATTAAATAATTTTATACCATTTCCTTTTTTCAGTTGCTGAAGGTGAAACCCCTCATAAATTTACATGGAGCGATTACATGGAAGCTGCATTAAGCAAAGCTGCTCCTGATTGCTGTTTCAAACATGTGAGTGCAAATTTGAGTTTTTATGCAGTAAAGGGTAATATCACTGACAGTGATTTTGCTGCATTTTTTTGTGAAAGCAGTGCGTAAATTATGACTTAGTATCTCATTTGTACATCAACTGCTCAACCCCAAGGTGACAATATTGAGTGAATAATAATTTATTGTTAAAGGGAGTGCAAGTTGTAATGTAATTATTTGTTTGTAGCCATTTTGCCAATGATATGATGATGAAATTGGGAAAGTCTGCCCGATCTTTTCAGTCTGATATCATAGCCTTGTACATACATAATTGGTAAATAAACCCCTTCTGGCGCCTGGTATGTTGGCTGATAATGTCTGCGGCTGAGATATTGTCTGAAAAATGAATATTTGNTTTGCCTACGTTTTAACTCGAAAACAAAGCAAAAACTAGCGAGAAAAATACAGAACCACGTTTTTCTATTACACTGAAGACCACATGCAAAAATTCGGCTAATTTGGAGCAAAAAAAAAGAAAATTAACCAAAATCGTCACTTATCCCCTTTATGACTAGTTTCTTCAAATGTTAAATTTTGAGGACAACCTCTCAGCCAAGGACAGTATCAGCCACCATACCAGCAAGCCAGAAAGGGGTTTATTTATTTTCTAACCCTCCCATTAATTTTCTGCATATTTTGTTGACTCTTTTGTACTTATCAGAACAGCAATGGGGACCCGTTTTTTTTTATGTCATTATCAGCGGATTCCACGAAAAGAGTTTATTTTTCTTCCATGAAAAATAATAAAGATGAAAAGGTGAAATTCTGGAGCTGGATTTATTCCTTTTAGCTCTGTTTCTTTTCGACAGAAACAGTCGCAGGGCAATTATCGACACAGGCAGAGGTTATTGCTTGATAACTGCCCAGTAATTTTGCACCACTTGACGTAAAGTAACCAATAGAAGTGCGTGAAAATTAAGCGTGGGTTGCAACTCGTTATAAACCCCTTTAAAAGCCTCAAGTGGAGGCGTGATGGCCTAGTGGTTAGCGCACTGGACTGGGGATTGAGCAGTCCTGGTTCAAGACCTGGCCAGGGTCATTGCATTGTGTTGTTGAGCAAGACACTACTCTCACATTGCCTCTCTCCACCCAGGTGTATAAATGGGTACCAGCAAATTTAAAGGGTAACTCTGTGAGGGACTAGCATCCCATCCAGGGAAGAGTAGAAATACTCCCTGTTGCTTCATGCTACGGAAACCAGGATAAGCTCTGGCTCTATAGGCTTCTGGCCAGATGCAGACTAAACCTTTACCTTTGGAGCTTCACTGCAGTTATAATTGTTAAAAAATCTTGACCATTATTTCTGGGTTTCCATCAATAAAATATGTCTTGTGATTTGAGTTTTTTAAAGTTACTCTGTTAACTGTCAATAATGCTCCAGCTGGTAGTGCTATGTCATGTTTTCCAATTGTTGTTTTTACAGTCAATTTATTTGCAGTATTTGGTTCCAGCCACTTTTTGTCTAGTTCTTCATAGGTTGCAGGCTGCAATCTGTCAATGTGTTGTGCTCTTTATCCATATGCCATGCTTTCTTTATTAAACGTTGTCCACTCATTTACCCAACAGACAACTGTGGAAGTGCCAGGCTTAAAACCAGGAATGAAACTAGAAGCTGTCGACAGGAACAATCCTCCTTCATTCTGTGTTGCCACGGTAATACAACAGGTTGGGCAGAGGGTGCGTATACGTTATGATGGCTTTGGAAAGGACAGTGGCAATGACTGCTGGTGTAACTTCCAAGCAGAGGAGCTCCATCCTATAGGATGGTGTGCACAGAATGGCTACCCTCTGCAGCCACCTAAAGGTATGTGGAAATTAAACAATCCCTTAATAGGACTAGGCCTGAACAGAATTATCTTCCATGATGTAATTTCTTGTTTTGACTTGCACTGACTTTTATGTCAACAGTAAGAAATTAAAGATTTAAAATTTCCAAACTTATGCTTCAAACACTTCATACACTTTAAACTGAGGGCATCCACTGAAAAAGAAAAAAACAGACAGTTACTGTACAAAACGTGGACTGGATCAACTCAGATTGCTGATTTGAATAAGAATGGCAAAGTTATATTGTTTATGTCTCGTTTTTGACTAGTTACCATTCATTCAATCAGTGATCCAGGTTGGTCTGGTCTGAGTTTTGTCCCTCGTGCCTGAGAAAAAAAAACCCTTGATTTTTGTGTTAATTATAATTATATTGTTCAATACCTTTAATGTATTTACATTAATTTGTTATATTGGGTTTTTCTTCCATATTGCTTTCCAGTCAGCAGATTTTAATGTTTGTGTAACTTCATTTATGACGTGATATATCTGCAGGTATAAATAGCACTCTTGAGGACTGGAGAACATTTTTAACCCAGACCCTGACCGGCGCACTTGCCGCACCTCATGATCTGTTTAGAAAGGTGAAGACAGAAAGTCTACAATATGCATGTACTTGTTTTTGGATTTGTTTAAGGAAAATAATGTTACTGAAGAATATCAATTGAAATCTTCATTTGTTAGTTATTCAAAATCGTGTTCACCTAATTTTCTTTTCACTGGAAATTTAGCAACAATATAGTACTGCAACAAGATTCCCACCTCCATGGTTTGAATTCACAAATTTAAATTAATATGTAGAATGCTTTTCCTCTTGTGCAAGTACCTACTTCTTCAGGACTAGCTTTATAGTGAAAGTATTTTGATTACTGTTCCTATAGTAGTTAATACACTTAAAAGAGAGATAACTTACAGTGCCAGTATCTATGATGGTAACCTTAAAAAGTTTGCTTTTGGATTTATACTTAACCTGTGTGTACTGTGATCCATTTGAAAGTGTTAAAAATCTGTATATGCCTCAGACACCATACTATTGTCTAAAGAGTCATCGGTATGGAATGTCTTTTTGCACCTCTTGAGGTTTCAGGTTTGCTAATTCATGTGATACTGGTAGTAGATTTGTTTTTTAATTCACTTATTAATTTCCTTTGCATTCAGACTCAAGAGCATTTCCAGCCTAGAGTTCATGGATTTGAAATTGGCATGAAGTTGGAAGCTGTTCACCCGATGAAGCCATCGATCATTTGCCCGGCCACAGTCACTAAGAGCCTGGGTCCATACTACTTTGCCATCACTACAGACTACCAAGAGAATGTGCCCTCAGTCACATTTTGCTGCCATAGCGACTCCCCAGGAATCTTCCCAGCGGGATGGTGTTCCAGGCATCAAGTGGATTTGTCTGTTCCTCAAAGTAAGTGATGCCTGACAATTTGTGTCATAATTAACTGTGATTCTATGTAAGATTTTTTTTTTTTTATTATTTTTAAATGAGTGGACATTGTATTGTTTGCAGTATTGTGAAATGTAACTAAGTTAACAAATGAAAGAAGCTTGTATTTATTGGTCAGTTAGCCTGCAAACACAGATGGATTTCCGGCTTTTGTTTTACGCCAGCCAAAAATACCGCTATTTTTTGGCAGCATGAAACAAAAGCTGAAAATCTGGCCACGTTCACAGGCTACTTCTCAGTCATCATTATCTTAATGTTAGCACAGGTTGAGAACTCTCATTCATCGTTGTTGCATGTTCTTTGTGATGGGTGCCCAGATGACTGTACTTAGGGGCTTGCAAGGGCCATAGCCAGAAAAAAAAATTAAAATGACTGAGGCAATGTCCGTGAAAAAATTGTGACTGAGGCAATGTCCCTGAAAAAATTATGACTGAGGCAATGTCCCTGAAAAAATTATTACTGAGGCAATGTCCATGGTAAAATTCTCCTCCTAGGTTTTTAGGGAGAATATAAACAACAAAAAAGGAAAAAAGTGAGTGAGGCATTAGTGCCCTGGCTTGCCTATTATAGCGCAGTGACCTCATGGTTAGTGCTCTCGTCCCCAGATCAAGTGGTCCGGGTTCGAACCCTGGGCAGGGACACTGTGTTGTGTTCTTGGGCAAGACACTTCACTCTCATAGTACCTCTCGCCACCCAGGAGTATAAATGGGTACCAGCAAATTGTTGGGGAAACCTAACAAATTGTGGGGGAGTGACCTGTGATGGACTAGCATCCCATCCTGGGGGAGTAGAAATACTCCAAGCCGCTTCATGCTACAGAAACCGGGATAAGCTCTGGCAGCTATGAGCCCGTCAGCCCTAAGGATTCACACTTGCCAGTCACTAGCCACAGCCCTGCTTGTAGGTGGATTGTTGGGATTGCCTGTAAAACCTTCTAGGGACTAGTGGGTCACAGTGGAGGCCCTCCATCATTCCAGGCACCCACACAATGCGACTGTTAAGGAATGCTGAACAATATTATTTAGACTTCACCTTTGTGGATCATATTTTTCCCATTGTTATCTTACACTATTGTTTAGCTGGTGAAATACTGCTACTCGACCGTACAGTGACCACTTGATTGACCATGTATTAATGGCATTTTGAATTTCAGACTACACTAAAAAGACTTTTGCATGGGACAAGTACTTAGCTCTGTGTAGAGCACCATTTGCTCCTGCTCATTTGTTTAGGGTATGTGCAAAGTTAGACACATAAATTGTTTCAATCATCATCATTAATATCATTGTAGTCATCAATATCACAAATGCAAGTGCTGCAGCATTGTTTTACAGTTTTCATCTGACCTTATTAGCAGAGTTGCGCATGTCAATTTGATATTCTTTACCATTTTGAACTAAATGCAATCATCATTTTTAAACTGGTTTTAAAATGTCACAATTTAAATTTCCCTTTATTTTCCTTGAATCATGTAGCCTGTTGAGGGGTGTATAATTCTATGATACAAAGATGGGATTTTGAGGTCCTGGCATGTATCCCTTTAGCACTAGAGGTACAGTGCACTTACAAGTGGCTGTGGGGTAGAGGGTACAGTGGGACTGGGAAGGGGCGGGGGGTGAGTTCTAGAAGAGTTTGAACCTAGCAAAGGGTCAATGTGTTGTGATCTTGTGCAAGTCATTTTCACAAAGCTTCCCATGTCTATTTAGGTGCATAATGGGTACAGAATCTGCAACCTGGCAAAGTCAATGCAAAAGTGGTGGGAGACAGGGGTGGTTCATGAAACTGCCTTTTCTGTTGACTTAATAACACACTCCATTTATCCGTTATCCCACCTACAGTAATCAGCTTTCCAGACTAAGTTTTCCTATATATGATCAGCTGAGTAATTGTACCTTGATTTTCAACGTTTTTGAAATAATACTTTGATGTGTTCTCACCCAGAAAACAAAGGCCCATAAATTCAAGCCCGGCATGAAACTAGAAGTGGCAGACTTGGAACAGCCTCAGATCATCCGTGTAGCCACCATAACTAACATCATGGGCCGCATGCTGCAGCTGTTCTTTGACGGCCAGTCAAAGTTTCAGTTTGTGGATTTTGAATCACCGGACATCTATCCCATTGGTTGGTGTAAAAGAACAGGACACACACTCCACTCGCCATTTGGTCCAAGTAAGTGTCTGTATGTGGTGTTTTCTGTGCCTTATCACTGGGTATTAAGTCTGCACATGGGCCAAGTGGCCCATCAGGCTGAAGCAAATCCCGTTCTCTTTAGCATGAAGCAACTAGGAGTATTTCTACTCCCCCCTGGATGGGATGCCAGTCCATCGCAGGATTACCTCCAGCATTAAGTTTGCTAGTACCCATTTATACACCTGGGTGGAGAGAGGCACTGTGAGAGTAAAGTGTCTTGCACAACGCAATATCCCGGCCAGGGCTCAAACCCAGACTGCTCAATCTGGAGACAAGCCCACTAACCATGAGGCCACCGTGTCTCCCTATCACTGGGTATACCCAAGTTGTTAAAAAAGGGGAATGGCTTTCTTTCTTGAATAGGTGTGAAAAAAAGTTAATTATATAATCTTGGTAGTCAATAACTTTCATCTGAATGGTCATCCTATATACAACATAATTTTAATCAGTTGGGACTCAAAAATAGAAACACAGTTATAAGTCCTCAAGTTAACTGTTGAGAAATGGCTGATGACCGAGTAGTGGAGTTTTGAGGGCCACGTTGACTAAACCTCATAGAAATGTTAAGTTTATGCAAAAAGTAGGAAATATAGGCCTGAAGGGTTAGTTGTAAGGAGATTAGGTGGAGGATAATATTTCTGCTAGTGTATACTCGGTTTTAATGAGCCATTTAGTTGCTTAGTCCAAACCAATAACGTAAATTACTCCTTATCTCAAGTAGACAAATCGCGAGGGAGGGGGGGGGGGACCCCATATATAAATAACAGGGGTGTTCCTCATTCCTTTTTGGACTCAAAAATGCGCTTTCAGTATTCCTTGTAGGGTGTTAAGCCTCAAAAAGTCCACAGCAGGCTAGCTTTTGCAGTACCTTTTAGGGTATTGAGCAGAAAAAATATATGACAGGAGATAATGTGTTATGTTAGAATTGGTACCCCTTAGAGGAGAAAAACTTTCAAGCCACGCCCACAAAACAGTATTTCTGTACCTCTTAGGGGTTCTTTTCAAAATTTGCGACAAGCACCCCTGTCTTTTTTATATGGGACCTCTCCCAGGAGGCAAATACTTTGTTGTTAATGTTCTGTACGCTTTTCTCATTTCAGTTCCTTCTGATGCGACCAGGTAAGCCTTTTAGTGCTAAATATGACAAATTGTTGCCTAGGTCAAGATAAATTGTCTGTTACTATAGCCAATCGTGTGTTTAATAGAATTTTTCAAGCCTAACCATCGGGTATGAAAAGACTTTTCTCGAACATGCTATCTGCTCGTCATCAAAGTCTTTCATTTTTTTAAAAGAAAAATTAATGATCTGTTAAATGATCCCCACAAGGTTTATATTTTAAGACTTGTCCAAATGCAACTCTTTTGTTGTAATTGTCATTAAAAGTAACCGTGAACTGTTTTGTTGTTTACAGCTCAGCTGATGATGAAGACAGTTTAGACTTACCATCATTTCTGGAGGTCATGGGAAGACAGAACCAAGCCCAGACAGGACAGACAGCAGTAGGTAAGGGTGATCAATTTCTCACTTCTCTTAACCATTCTGTAGTCATATTTAATGAAGCAGGTCATAAGAAGATAGGATTATATCATATCAGGTAGCCCAAGCTGTATTATTTCAGTGTTAAATTATTTCAGTATGATTAGGCATAACCTCACTAGCATTGTTATGCTTGAAATTTAGTCGAGAAGATTCCCTCTTCTCCCGTCATCATCTCTCCTCCCCTGCCCCCGGGCGGTCATGCCAGGAGGAGGTCTGGAGGTCTGGAGGTCTGCCCCCTCTCCTGTGTTGTCTCGCCCCTTCCTTTCCCANGATGACAAGTCACCGGGGGAGGAAAGTGACATTAGTGATGATGATACAGGTCTGTTATTTTATTATCTTTTTTTTCATCTTGAATGTACTTTAAATCCGTCAATATGAGTAAGAGAGCTTTTCAATGACTTCGGTTACAGTAAAAGTAACTGAAGAACATCTGGTCCACTGCAGCCAATCACTACGCGGCTCAAAAACTCAGTCAGCCAATCAGGATTCGTAGCAAAGCCACAATCGATGCAAAGCGCAGGAAAAACACGTTGGCAAGATTCGATGCAATCGGTCGATACAAATATATCGTTGTTCTGATTGGTTAGAGTACATCGCGCACATTTTATAGCTAATAACAGAGCCGCGAAAAGTGCGAAACCAAAACAAATACTTTGCGTTCTGTTAAACTTATCTAAGAGAACACATCAGCCAGTTTTAATACGGACAGCGTGTATCCAAGGTTATTGTTCTTCAAGCAGCATTATAACTTGTAGTCTGTCCCGAGACATGTATTTTTTTTGGCTACGAGTTATTTTTCTTCGAGCGCGCGAGCGGCCGTGAAGCGGGCTATTTTGATCTTTCCCAGCCCCACCCCCTTGCGTTTTAGCGCGTGCATCCCACGCACTGGGATTGTAGTTAAGTAACCTTACGATCTCGACGAACTCAAAACAAAACAGAGGGTCTGTGAGATACTAAAGGTGACCAGTTCTCAAGCCTTGATCTTAGAAGAGCAATATCATGATTATGTTTCGGCCAGGTTCGGAACGTTTTTACCACAACAAGAATCAGATCTTCTTCAACAAGAGCTGCTGTTATGGACCCTTGTTGGACCCAGACAAGGTGTCACAGCTGCCCGAGGCCACCCCTCCTGGGAAGGTCAGCAGTGTGATACGCACGGGACTGGAGATGGTAGCCAAGGCCGCGTTTGACCCTGAAAAGGTGATCGACCTCATGCAGGAGGGGTGCGGAGTACGAGTGGTTGTCAAACACAAGGGCAAGATTCTGAAAAAGGTAAGATTTCACATTCAATGGTACATGTTTTTTAATAGATCATTTCCGAGTTCGGTTGTGCCTTTGTTTTAAAACGAGTCCCCGTGCAAAACGTGTCATGAAAATGAGTTTGATTCGCATGAAAATCAACCCGTTGGGGGAACACACTTTCTTAAGAATAGTTTCGCACGAAGATTGGCGTTGACATAGAGGCAAAAGACAACTCGGAATTGGCCTATTGAACTTATCCAGTACAAGCAATACAAGGGCACAAGAGGAAGCCCTGTATGCACCCATTCGTATTTCGCTGGATACTGTAAACTCGCGCTGTGCTTTGGAATACAACAGATGCTTTAACCCACGTCATAATGTCGCAATGCGTTTATTTCGAAAATTTCATCTCCATCTTGTTTGCTCCTTTAGTTGTTTGCGATCTTGTAAACTTGAAAAAGAGCCTGTATGAGGAACCCAGGTTCTTCTGTATGTATAACTGATTCACGCACTTTGAAGACGTTTTTGAGAGTTCACCTCGTTCTGTTTTCACGCATGCATTCTATCAACAGGCGATCTCTCGAGTAGATTCGCGGCCGAAGTTGGAGCGTTACCTTAAGAGGTTTTGCCGGCGACTCATCTGTTGCGAATTCTTCTTGAGTTTGAAGCCCGTGCCAACACCCTGTCCTGATCAGTGCCAGGCTGATGGTGGGTATATCAGTACTTTATACTTAGTGAGTTAGCAATACGCACGCACGGTTAGACTGTACAACTTAAAATAGTGTAGTCTGTAATCCCCCCAGAGGGGGGTATTCCGTTCCATGGGCTAAATAGGTATGTGCGGCACCGAAGGGTTAGAAAAAGTAGATCGCTAAATATGCTAACCATTTGCAGCGTAGTTAAAATCGCTTGGTCGCGTAAAAACGTTTACTGAATCTTTTTGCTCTATGTTAGAGAACAGCGTTCCTACCAACCGGGAAATCATTGTTTGATGAAAATGTCTTGGACTGGCTACCAAACTGAACAAGGACGGTTGATAGCTGGAGAAACTTTTTGAATCTCATTACTTCCCAAATTGAAGTCGCATTACCTGTTAGCAGAACCATTGCAAAATAATTGATTAGTTGCTTGAATGGAATTTTACACCAGCAATATCGTTTGAATAACCGCAATAGTATTGCAACCATTACATGTAGTTTTATTGTCTGACCACTATTTTAATGTGGCGCCTTGTTTGATTAACATTTACCTCTTGCTGGGTAAAATCCAGGGCGCTGTCTTGAATCCGAAACAAAATATTTCACCTGCTGAATCAAACAAAAGCTAAACAACGCAACATTTCTTTCACTTTTAAGTTTTGTTTCTAAAACTAACCGGCACCACTTCTTTTTCGTACTGTTGACTAAAAGTTGTTCAAGTAGGAGGTGAAGGAGATATGCGTGTGTTTCATAAGTAGCAGCTCTCGCTGTTTAATAATATCTGGATGACTGTTGCATTTTTTGATGAAAAAAGGAAATTTTCAAACAGAAAAACTTAGACGTTTGCCACCTGCCACCATGTGATCTGTGTAAAAGAGTTATCATAAAATATTCATGAAACAGTGATGATGATATCACATTTTACAACTTTGAATTTAGCTAGATATCCCGGCATCTAATTCGAATGTTGGATCAGATTGTGATGGAAGACACCCACAAAACGCTGATGATTATGACAAACAGTTTTTGAACACTGAGTCACGCGAGATGCTGCCGTGTACTTTAAGTAATAGGAGTTGTTTTGTTAAGAGTCCACTGACAATGAATAGACGTGTTTCTAACTGTTTAGCTTAACAACTGCTGTTGTGTTTTAGATCAAGGGAATCTGCAAGGTCCGAAGGGGCTCAAAGCCAAGCGTTCTCGTGAATACTTTGAAGTCAAGCATCTAGGAGTTGAGAAAAAGAAGCGCGGCCGGAAACGGAAGTCGGAATACCTACTTCCGGGCGATCCAAGCAACGCTGTTACCAGGCCCCTGGTAGAAAACGGCATACCCATCGTAGGGACGTCTTTCAGTGTGGTGCAGGGGCAGAAGATCTCGCCGTCAACAACAACATCAACCATTGCTCCCGTTCAGAATGGTACCGTCGTTACTCAAACCCCCGGGGCTCCCATTGTRATACCCCAGGGGGTTTCCCCWGGGATTGCCGCACCACCAGCCTCCGTTGGAAACGTTGGCTACCAGGTTCCTGGAAATGTAACAGTGCCTCATCCGCCCAACTCAGTAAAAAGCGTACCAATGCTCGCACCCCAGGGGAAACTTCCCATGGCTCACCCCCATAGGGCACCTGTGCCGATTAACGCTTTACCAGGAGGAAAACCTGTCATGAAGGAGGTAAATATTGTCTCTTTACTTCTTATTTTATTCCCAACCGAAAATGAAAGATACTTGTTGACTTTCGAAGGACTTTCGGCTTTCGATAACAGTATACCTGATTTTGCGCACGTTATCAAGTTGTTCCGGCAATCTTCCATTCCTATCAACGTCTTGTGGCTTAATTTGAGAAACATTTGTCCTTTTCTTTGATTTGCTAAACCTTTGAAACACATGAAACATTGTCCAACCTGAAGTTGTGAATCGTTGCTTTGGTGGTGTTTCACTGCCCTAACAGTTCTCTCTTACCGTCTTGACCAGAAACGAAACACAGGAAACCATTGACCAGATGGTCACTGCGGTATCTACGAGCGCCAAGAGGTAATTAGCTTTACTATAAACAATAAAAAATGTTTGTTTTGTTTTTCCATTTGCAGGGAGTGCAAGCACACAATCCATCCGGTGGCCCTATCACCGTGTCGTTATCTGACGGCTCAAGTCGCATCGTCACTAACGTATCAGGCCAAAGATTCGCCACAAGCGCCACAAGCTCCGGTACAACCATCACATTTGGTCGGGCCCCACCCAATGTCACCATATCAAACTGCATTCCCCCACCACTGACTAAGATAGCGACTGAGGCCAGCAGCAGTCACGTGACTACTACCACCAACATGGCTGTCGAACCCCCAAATCAACTTGCAATTCATGCTGTGTCCGCGGTGCAAACGGCCAGCAGCACTTCAGTGCCGCCACCTTTTTCTTCCGGTTCTGTGCACGTGCCTCCCGTTTCCAGGAACTCGTTTGGCACGACTCCCGCTGGACAGATGCCCATGGGGGCTGGATACAGACCAGCTACCAGTCCACCGGTGTTTCCTCGACAAGTATTAGGTGCAAACGCTGGAGGAGTGATCCGACATCCTGGGGTCCACCCGAATCCTCCGGGTACTTCCTCTGCGGTTCAAATCAAACCGAGCAGTGGAACACCCCCTCCCCCTCCTCCACTGGTCCCCAACGCTCGCGTGGGACCTCAAGGAGTAAGGCCCCAGGGGATGTACGTTCAAGCTCAGACGAACAGCAGCTCCATGCCACAGCCACGCCCAGGAATGCATTCCCACCCGCCATCCTACAACCCCATAGCAGCTAGAGGTGGGGTAGTTAACCACCACCCTCAAGCCAACACTCCGCCTCCCCTGAGTAGTTCCCCCGGGGCTCCAAGCGGACCTCTTCAGCCTGGCGCAGGAGATAGGGGAGTTACCCAGCCTGGATCCGCACCCATTTCACAAAGGCCCATTATGCCTAACTACCAAGGAATCCCTCGATCGATGAACCCTGGCATGCCTCCTCGAAGTACCCCTCTGAGGTTTTCCAGTGTAAGAGCTCCCCTGGGAAGTGGATATGCACGGCATCCCCCACCCATGCGTCCGCAGGGAGTTAATCCAGGGCAGATGTCTTCCCATCAACAGGTAAGGTGCTTTAAAATCAAGGTATTGGGAGCCTGATTTGGATTCACGTCAGAGCTATTTCTTCGAGAAACAAAAACCATTTCGAGAGTTTATCAACAAGGTCTTCCATTGTAATCCATAAAAAATGTGAAGTAAAGTACAGGTCAGTGTTAGGAATCAAAAGGTTGAAGTGGTAATTTGTTGAGAGGGGGAACTTTCCTTCATAGGTCGAATAGATAACGACTAGTCGCCCATCATGGATCGTCCTGAAGAGAAACAGAGAAAAGATTACTCAGAAAAAAAAAAATGGCGGAAGACAGTAACTGCAATAGGTCATTTCCGAGGTACCGTATGCCTCTGTTTTAAAGCAAGTCCTTGTGCAAAATCTTTCATGTGAAGACGAGTTTGATTTACGCGAAACACATTTTCATAATGGAAAGTTTCGCACGAAGACTCGTTTTGAGACAGAGGCAAAGCCAACTCGGGAATGTCAAGCAGGCTAAGTATCGGGCTTTTCACCCCTCCCCTTAGGAAAGCCTGACACTCGGGCTAAGAGACAAGTAGAGTGTACAAGTGTAATTGAGTGAAATTTGTAATAACTCTTGCTTTACTATTTTTTAGAGCTTCAAATTGCGCTTCACAGTTCCTACCGTCTCAGGGACTGTGCAGAGAAGTCTTGGATCCAATCCGCCTGCCGTCACTTTCGTTGATTCTGCATCGATTACCAAATCGCACATCTCACCGACTCCGATCCAACCCAAGAGCTCCATCGAACATCTACAGGCCCTGACGAATGCGACCGACAAAGACGCGAAGATGAACGAGGAGTTGAAGATCAAAGAGGAAGAACGAAAGATGACGGAAGAGGAAGAAGAAGAAGGAGAAGGACAGGAGGGCAACGAAGAGAAATCCGAATCACCTCCGAAGAGAAATCTGTGGTGGTTAAAAAAGAGGCGGCGAAAACGCACACGGCTGACGTACATCAAATCGAAATACCGTCGGAAGGAGGACGAAGCGGCACCGAGCACTTCCGAGGTCGCTCCGATGGAGGAAGAAGCTGAACTCGACGATCTTCAGAAGACGTCTTTGGACGAAAGGCCAAAGCGAGGCCGACCACCGAAGGGCGTAGGATTTCGATTCAAAACAGAGAGCTTCTCTAATAGTGACCCAGACTGGGACGAAACCGAAGAGAGAAGGCGAGTTAAACCAGTGGTGAAGAAGAGAAAGGGACGAGTCAAGAAAGGTACTTTGTTACTGAGGTTGTCTCAAGTGCCAGTTGCGACTACTAGTAACTAGGTTATCTCCTCGTCAAGTTCATTCCAAGCGAGCATGTCTGTGGTACAGAGTATGAACGTGTGACTGATGGCAGCCCGACAGGCATTGTTTAGTTAAAAAATACTGAAAAGGAAATCGCTTTGTAAACTTTGTAGGTGATAGTGGCAGCAATCACAGAAAGTTATGCTGTCAGATTTGTGTGTGTAAGGAAAGCGTAAGGACAGTTTCTCGCTACTACAGCTGTTGTCTCGCCCCAACTCATAAATGTATTGACTATAATATTGATTGCTAGTGAGGGCAGTTTCTTGAAAATGGATCTTTGTTTTTGGTCTCAGATTCTAACGAGGTGACGTCACCGAAGCTCAAGTCCCCTTTGGCCGGGCCATCACAGATCCCAATGATTCCTGGCATGCCTATAATGCGAGAGGCTGGGCCCAAACACGCTGCCTCGATGCCATCCAGTTCTACGTCACCAATGGGGCGCTCGCCCCCAGTTTCGCCACGATCCATACAGCGTGGACATGCTCACCACGGACCAGGAATGGCTGGTGATAAACGTATGACGTCACCCAAGGGTTCTAAAATGATGCGGATGAGCTCTGGGTCGGATGCAAGAGGTAAGACGAAGAAATAATATGCAACAGCGAGCTATTTACCTTTCACCGGAAAACAACGATGTATCTTGGTGCACCTGTAAACTGGCTGGTGCGTCCTGAAGATTCTACTTATTAAGTCTATTGGATGCACTGTTACCATAGCTAAGAATGCAACCAAGTAAAATAAACTATATCTATGTCTATGTCTATCTGAGAACTGCTGACCTTTACCTTCATTGAGAGGTCGAAACTTGCAGGTTTTTGAAATTTGTTTACAGCTGGTTACACAAGGAATTTGGGAAGTTGTCAAAATACCTAAGAGCCGTCAGTGAACCAACTTGTGATGTGCGCTCTACTCCGTGTGGAGTGGTCAGGGGTTGAGACCTGGCCAGGGTAGTGTTATTGTGTTCTTGGGTAAGACGCTGTATTCTCGTAGTGCTTCTCTTCAACCGCGAGTATAAATAGATGACAGCGAATAAAATACTTGGGGGTAGCCCTGCGATAGACTAGCATCCCATGCTTTTATTCTTATCGTGTTTAAATTAAGGATCTTACTTACTATCTAGAGGCGGGAGATACTCTTAGCAGTCTCCTCGTGCTGCGGGAAATGGAGATAAGCGCCTCTTAGCCTTTCCTTTCTTGATCCTTTCAGTATGTTAGGTTAATTTTTTTGTGTAGTGCAATGCTCTAAGAAGGCTTTTCATGAACTAAAACGTTTGCTCTTATCCTAGGTCACCACTCTCATTCTGCATCAAGGTACTCGCCTTACCCCTCCCTGACATCAAAGGCACCCTACTCCCCCATGGGGCATCGACCCATACGCCCAAAGCCGTTCTGTGTCGATGTCGGTACTAACACGTCACTTCCGGGCTGCGTGAATGGCCGGTCACCTGACCTTCCCGCCAACCCTGTCACGTGGTCAGTGGAGCAAGTGGTGAGATACGTGCGCTCGACCGACTGCATTAATTATGCTAATATATTCTTGGATCAGGTAAATATGCCCATTCATCAATCGTTCCGTCATTCAATAGGCGATTTCCGAGTTACCTTGTGCCCCTGCTTCAAAACGAGTCTTCGTGCAAAACTTTTCATATGAAAATGAGTTTGGTTTGCATGAAAACGAACCTGCAGTCGAAACGCATTTTCATATGAATGGCTTCGCTCGAAGACTCGTTTTGACACAGAGGCAAAGTGGCCTATTTCGTTTCTTGCGGTGCACAATTTTCGTATAGTAGAGCATGTTTAAAAAGATACTTGATTGACGTATCATATGGCAGTTTGCTTACGTTTTGAAGGCTTTCCCCCATGCCAAAGGTTTGCTACGTGGCAAGGAAAGGAAAGAAATTACTTCACCTCGTCCTAGATAGGAAGTCTAAGAAATAAAAACATAAAATGACTCGTATAAAAGGCTTGGCGCTATCATTTCTTTCATTTTGTAGTCCTTTGCTCCTTCATACACATCGTTATTACACTATTTTTAACGACTCTTGTATTTGTGTGATAGCTCAGACACACTGGACGCGGCTTTTAACATTTGATATGTTCTTGACAGGAGATTGACGGCCAAGCACTGATGCTCTTATCACGTGACTCGCTGATGCAGTTCACTCGCATGAAACTGGGGCCGACGTTAAAGATGTGTAGTTATATTGCTCAACTCAAACTTCGAGCGCGTTAACGCTCGGCTCTGTTACTGGCATGTTTTGGACTTGCATGAAAGCACTCTCTACAAGTCGTCGACTATGAATCAGGAGCTTTTCCCGTAAGATTGTGGACATAGTTGAAGTCTTACGGTCCGATTTGTGGATACAAAATGATGGAGTGTTGATATCTTGAAGCCAACAATGGGAATCTATTGGATTTTAATGAACCAACTAGTGCTGACTTAAAGATTGTTGATTCCGTAGTATCCTCAAATATCATTCATTTCCCGCGCTCTGGCGTCTTTTGGCCAGGAGTTAAATCGATGGCAGACGACGACCCATGTTTCAAGTTGCTCCGGAAGTGACACTTTCAGCCTGGGGCTGTGTCGAACTGTAAAACTTTCAAGCTTGTAGCAGCTATATTGCTAGCGAGAAAGTTAACAGCGCATCACCGATGTGCTGACTCTACACCCCGAATAGCGAATTTCAGGGATTTCACGCTCTTTTGCTTTTCGGGGTTCTAAAGGTGTAGGGATTGTAGAAAAAAAAAAAACTAAATGCAGTCTAGCGTAGATATTATATTGTCTCCAGTTAGTTAAGTTTCAATTCTCCTCAATCTAAGAATTTTAGCGTTAATATGAGTTCACATTAACTTTGTGACCTTGATACTTTGACATGGGTTCTTGTTTCTCGACCGCTAGTTTGAGAAAGCGAAGGCTCCGGTTCTAGCCTTATGACTGAGATTGTGGTTTGTGCCGCGTGGAAAATTTGTCTTGGACAATAAATAAATATTCAGAGTTAATTTAAATTACAAGGAAACTTAAGTGATCAAGGCGTGATCTGTGAGCGCCCAGTGAACGCAACTCGTGTATTCATACGCAAGATTTACATTTTGATATTTCCGAAATATTATAGAGTATTGTATTTTAGGTAAAAAATAGTTTTTGTGGATTTGATAATTATAAATTGAGAGGTTTCCGGCCTTGGTAGTACTCTCGGAAACCAAAGGATAACGACTTTTAAATAACGGAGTAATCAACAAAGGACCATGATCTTCGGTTTTCGACACCCGAACGAATGGTCAGGTCGACAGCGTCCGTCGATTCCCGAGGGTAGGAGGCGAGCGTTTAAGGAGTGTTAAATCACCTATTAATTATGATTGAACCTATTTTGTGTGGATTATGACATTCTACATTGTAGATAGACTTTTTTGTCAAGTATTAAAAATTATTTTTATGTACCTTGAGTCTTAAGTGGTGTTAGATGCAGTAATTCGTTTTTAGAGAGCCCTTCGGAAGTCAGGGTTCTCAAATTGTTAATGGTTTCCACCGCTTAATCGTGGTTAAGAAAGTCTCTGGCTCCTTGTTTCTTGATCCATGGCGTTCCCCCGTCGAATACAAAGTAGCTCAGTTCTTTGTTTCATCAATGAATTGCAACCTGTATTCTGAATATCATACCATAATTGCGATTCCTTTATGATATTTACTCCGTTCGTTGTGACGTGCTCTTGAGCAGCCGAGGACGCATTACTACCACAGTACCTCTCCACCTAAGTGTATTAAAGGGAACCGCTGAAATATGGAACAACCTTACAGAATATTGGTAGTACCCCTGTGATGGACTAGCATCCCATCCAGGGGAGGCTGAGTAGCCTAACTCCTTGCTGCTTCATGCAACAGAAATCGGATAAGCGTCGAGAGCTGTGAAACTGAGCCACTTGGGCTTCAAAATGGCATGCAGTTTGCTTTTTATGTCTCCGCCCTCATTTATCGTAAATTTGATTTTTAACTTGAAAGAAGAAGAGCTTCTCGTACCTTTGAACGGACTAAAGAACTGCTGAAACAAATACCCCTAGCCATGCAGTCTAGTCGACAGAGTCATTCTCTTTATTTTCTCGTCAAAGCCCGCACATTTTTCATCGTGAATAGGTACGTCATGTAAAAATCTCCTACATGTACCATCATGGATACTTGTCTTGGATCAAATCGCTCTGGCCGAAAGTCGAACGATTTGATTTCGGTACTTCGTGGGATCTTGCTCGGCTAGCTTCGTTTGTTGTACCACGTGAGTCTAACACTTGTGGCAATGCCGCGGCCCCATCTCCAGATTTCCTGCTCTTTTAAGAGCGCGGGAAAGTCAAGATAATGTGATGCGGACAAAAGCGAGATGAAAAATGCTCCAGTGTATTTAGAAACTAACACCAAGGGAATTAAGAGGCAATCAGTGGTCTCTGAAGTAATACCTCGAGTGTTATGTAAATGGTGCAATGAAAACTTAAACGCGCTTATTTGATACGTTACAAAACTTATTATTAATTCCTTGCTATGAGCGAGAAATTCACACATTTGATAATGAAATTCAAACTAAACGACGCAGTTTCCTTTGTCCATGCGCACCTTAGCCAAATTTCATTTTCAAATTTCTCAACCGACGTTTAGTTCAGTTTGAGCTCTATCCACTTCGCGTCAGGTTTGCTGACTTTTAACAATGCGAGCGAAGCTTTAAAAGGATACAGCGAGTTTTGTTTAA